TAGATTAGCAACTATCCTGTGCCAAACATGTGGTATATCCATTTAAAAGCATACAATAGTAACCATAGCAGGTATTGTAATTCCTTATTCATTCGAACCATCATGTTTCATAACACAGTTACTACGATGTTGAGACTAGCCAAGTTTCTCACTATCCGGGAGAGACGGCGATTCGAATCGATTTCAACCAGCTGGGAATTTATTCCTAACACAAACCCAGGTCTACCAGCCATGATAGCCTTAGGTCACCTTTGGTACAACTTAGGTACACATTTTGCGGGTCCATACCCGCCGCACAATTTGGAACACTAGATGCTAGGATGTTCAGGCCTAGCCTGCCCTTGGGCTCAGTCTGATCGTTCCCCGGAAGGAGCGCACAACCGAACGGGTCCTGGCCTGAGTTGAATTACTCGGCTTCGCGGTCGGAACGAGTTATCCGGCTAGCTAAGTGAGAGGCATGCGTTCAATCTTGTCAGAAGCGCCAACAACGGTATGGTCCTTAATCGACACAGACAGGGATAGATCCACACCCAAGACCTCCATGTCTTGTTGCTTCTCTATCGACATTCCACCCGGTCTCCATTTACATTACCCCATGGTTCTTTTCCACGATAGCAAATATAGCCAACCATGCTCCGGTATCCACCTATATCTCGTAGGTGATAGGAAATCACCCGACTTCTACCGGTCTAAGCATGGCTAAGCATATATTCGATCCTAGACCTATACCGGTTAAAGGTGTAGTAGCTAGACAAGGAGTTTATATGCATCAAGTGGTTCCATTCAACTCTTATAACCTAATGCATCAATCATAAGTACTTAAGTAATCATTTGTAAAATACTGGGAGACTTAGAATGCTCTGGGGCTTGCCTCATAGAAAAGAAGTAGGGCGGTGATCAGGACACTCCAGAAGCTCTTCAGGATTCTGCTCCTCACCTTCGGGAGCTGCGGCTTGAGGATTCTCCTGCTGGTCCCCTTCCTCTGCTTCGTCGAATTTCAGCAACGTTATTTCTTCCTCCGATCCTAGATGCATGAATATGGCATAAGTATTACGAATACATATATGTTAACAAGTGCATCATGTTTATTGAGTAGGTGCATATCTCTTCTCGATTATTTAATTAACTACTTCCACAATGCATCGATTATATCACAAAATAGCAGCTACTTGTTTCACTCATAACTGGAGTTCTACTAATCCAAATGCAGTGATCCTAGACTTTTTGGAAAGCTTATCAAATTATCTACAACTTTGTTATTAATCATTTTTACAGCAACCATCATCCTCGTCATGCAACTTATCAAACTACAGAATCTGTCCGGAATCCTTTTAAATTTGCATTTTGAAGCAACGATACTTCTACTTTATGTAATCACTCAAAGTTTGACAACATAAAGCCTACCAACAGTTTAAGCATACCAAATACATTCAAGAGAATATAATGGTAAAACCCAAACTATTTATTTAAATGCCTTTATTATTTTATTTAGATATTTAGGTTAAATAATAAACATATACCAGATGTGCATCATAAATTCTCAGAAAATTACAGTGGCTTACTAGTGCTACCAATAGACTACTGTAAAAATTTCATGCCATTTGGCCAAGTAAAACATCCTATACAAAAATGACAAGGCAGCAAGTCTTGAATTAGCATAATTAGAAAACCTTATTAAAAAGTGTCAAGCAACAGATTTCATATTTTTCATAGCATCCATATGGTACTAGGATTACCCCCAACAAATTTCCTGAATTTTGGATTCATAAATAATTTATAAAAATTCATACAAGGATTAACTATTTATAAAAGAAAAATCTATAACTATAAATCTACCCATGCACTGATCCTCAAATTTTTACCAGAGTTCATACATGACAAGAATAGCTTACCACAAAAATTTCATAATTTTTGGAGCACAGGAACTCTAGATATAAAATAAACAAATTTGCATGCATTCAAAAACACATTTCAAAACCCCATTTAAATCTCCCAAAATTTCTACTGTAAATGTCAAGAATATATTTTTCCTAAATACTACACTTCCTAAGGAACATAACCAAATTTATTTCACAATTTTTGAAGCTACCAAACTGGAGATCTAGAAATTACAAAACAGCACCAGATCTGGATTTAAATGAACTAGCTTTTAAGTTGGAGTCGCTGACAAGCGGGACCCACTGGTCAGTTGACCCCACTGGTCAGCGAGACAAAACAGAGCACGACGGCGCTGCTCGACGCTGCGCGGCCGGAGCTCGTCGACGGCGAGCTTGCCGGCGGTGACATCATCACCAGATGTTCTACTCGACTTCGCGCACCTATTGCACTACTTGGTGGGGCTTCTCGTCGGTGCTAGCAACAGTGGCGGCGGCCATGGCGGGGCGGAGGTGTGGGCCGACGGAGAGACGCCGGTGAAAGCTACGACGGCTCAATCAAACACTACGCCGAGCATCACAGAGCTACGACAGACCTAGCGCATCAACTAGCGTGGCGATAGGTGGGCCGGTGGCGGCGTAATACCGGTGACGGTGCTAGCGGCGGAGCTCCAGCGAGGCGTTGTGCGTTGCGGTGGCTTACCAAGCTTGAACAGCGGGCAATGGGGAACGCAGGGAGTTGCTGGGAAGACGTTGATGCTGTTGCGGTGGCGAATGGGCGGCTCAAATTGGCCGGAGCTGGCTATGACGACGGCGGAGGTGCGGGCCGAGCTTCAAGCACGCTGATTCTTGTAAGGACGAAGGAGGAGGCGTAAAGGGGAAATGAGGGTGCGGAGGAAGAAGCGGACGGACTTTGGGAGTTGAAGGCTACAGATGCTCGCTGCCTTTGTTGTGGCTGGGCGAGCGCCATGGCGACAGCGCCGTCATGCCTCCACGCTGGCGCCATGATGATGCTGGCCAAGCCGGCCGGCCACCGAACGGCGATTCAGCTTGGTTCGATTAACACGATGGTCACTGATAGCGTGTTTTCCGTGCCATTTCACCGCTAATCCGTGGCTCCAAAGCATAAGCCGTCTAAACAAAAATTATAGCCCTATGTACCAGCTTCAACTTTGGTTAAGGGAGTATGCTCTAATTCACAACCAACCAATAACGAGTAATGTCATCACCAAGATGAGTAAATCAGTTGTCAATCGAACAAGGACTTAGAAAATTTTTGAAGTGTTGAAAACAGTGAAAAGCTGATTTTTGTGAGTCTATTTCAAGCATGTTAGAAGCTAAATCAGTCAATGACCTAAAAATAAAAGTTGTTCCTTATGTCAAATACTACAACTTTGCTTTAGTGATCTCCTCCATACAAGGTCTCTAACACCTAGTTCAAATTTGGTCAAACATGTCACTTTTAAATGATGGTACACTATAATTCATGGCTTAATGACCTAATTACCCTTAACCATGAATATCAAAGTTGTTCATAATGATACTCTAAACATGTTTAAGCAATTTGCATGGTCATTCAATCTTTTCATGTATTAGGCACTCATTGAGCTATTTAGTGTAATCACATGAAGCTTAAGTGTTGGTTCATGAAATGTGACCAAGAACAAAGTCCTATTTGCTAACCTAGGTGTGGCTATATGTTTGTGTGACTCACATCCACCAAGTACATGTGTCCACTCATGATCATATGCATAGGCACATGGAGACATGAAATAACGAGAAAAGTTGCATATGTTTAAGAAACATGCGATAACAAGCAAACGTTGCAGATGTTTCAATCCAATGGTTCAATTGTAAATGCATATATATGAATGCTTGATGATCGTGCTCATGCTATGCAAGTCAAGTTATGCAAGGCTAACACCCGAGGTGTTACAGCGTCCTCGTCCTCATCCTCGTCCTCGTCTCTCTTCTGTCCCCAACCTCGGTGCCAGCTCTAGCCATGGCCTCCCCGTTCGCCTCCGGCCATGGCCGCCGGGCTCCAGCTCCTCGGCAGGCGGATGCACAGAGGAAGAAAAGTGGCAGTTTGGATGGGCCCCACTCTATTGGAGGAGATGCAACTTCTCCTTCATTTGAGAGGAGATGGGGTGTTTTTCTGTTGGCCACCAAAAAAGAAGAGTTATTGGCGAACTGCTGGAGAAAGAAAAAAGAAAAATGAGCCATCACCCACAATAAGACCATTTTATGGGGATGAGGGGTGGGATTAGGGGTCCGCCGGAGATGCTCTAACTCCGACGACGCAGTTTGAACATGTCAAACCGTTTTTTTTTAAAAACACTTTGACATATCATCTAAAGAGCCGTTTAAGTAAAAAAAACACTTTTTATATCTCTTGTCACTTTTAAGTAAAATTCACTCTTCAAATTATACATTTTTAGCTGGCGAAAATTCAGAACAAATGTTATTCATATTTGGATATAACCAATTAAAAAGGCTGTTGAAGGATGTTTTTTTTACTAAAAGCTTTATCCGATTCAGAAAGGATACAGAGGTCTTTTAGAGTTGCTCTTCAATAGTCTTGCTTGATTAATTGTGCGCTAAGATAATGAACAAAGGGCAAACTAAAGACGAGGATATTCATACAAAGATTGTGTAATTCTGGTTCGCAGTTGTGACGGCCACCAAAAGATGAGAAACTCCAAAGTCCGTGCCAAGATGCTCTGGCTATCGGGTTCGATTTGCTTGGCGGCTCCAAAGAAAAAATATGCTCTTAATAAAAAAGGGATTTCATTTCATTTTCTAGCACACCCGGGATCACCTGTGCACGGCGCTTCCTTGACGTGTGATATCATGTAGTGTGAAAACCAACTTGCACATGAAAGCTAGTTCAAATATATTTTAAGTTTGAGATATACGAAAGCAACATTTGAGATCGTTCAACGCATTATCGACTTAAGAGAGATTTAGTGAAACTTATTTGCAACAAGTTCGGATGAGCTAGGAGCCGCCGCCCCCACGACGACTGGGCCGAAGCAAACGACGGCCAGAGAGGCAGAGATGCTTGACAGATTGTAGATTCGTAGCAGCAGTAGACACATGCATAGATCCATGCACTACACTCATCCGCTACACGGCGAAGGCCGCGGCAGCCGCGGCGGTGCCGGCGGTGCGGAGGATCTGGAAGTAGAGCTGCGGGTTGGCGACGAACGCGGCGCGGGAGATGAGGAAACCCGCGGCGCCCGGCGCCTTCATGGTGGCACTGGCGGCGACGGCGGCCGTGGGCCACAGGAAGTAGGCGCCGACGGCGCCCCCGACGACCACCGCTGCGGTCTTCACGGCGCCCTCGCGGGTGGAGAACATGCCCGCGGCGTGGCGCGTCACCGCAACCGCGGCGCCGGCCGCCGGCTTCGCCAGCGAGACGGTCGAGGCTAGCCCCGACACCGCGGCGCCGGCCGCCGGCTTCGCCAGAGAGACTGTCGAGGCTAGGCCCGCCACCGCGGCACCGGCAGCTGGCTTGGCCAGCGAGACGGTCGAGGCCGCGGCTCTCGCCGCCTGCTGCCTCAGGCGGTCCAGCCCTCCGATGAGGTCGCTCGGGTACGAGACGGTCGAGGCTAGCCCCGACACCGCGGCGCCGGCCGCTGGCTTGGCCATCGAGACAGTCGAGGCCGCGGCTCTCGCCGCCTGCTGCCTCAGGCGGTCCAGCCCTCCGATGAGGTCGCTCGGGTACATCTCAGCTGGTCTTTGGGATCTCGGTGGCAGAGGTGGAGTGGAGGTGTGGCGAGCGAGCGAGCGATACGAATGCGAAGGGAAAGGTTGCGGCTGGGGCCTCGCCTGTTTGTATATCTCCGCTGATCTTTCTTGGGTGAAGGCGTGGGAAGGGCTTGTTACTTTTGTCCCTCAGATTAAAAAAACATATACTCCGTACTAAAAAAACGCAAACCTGGTTTTCTCAAGAGTTAAAAAAAAATCTCAATATTTACTAGATTTACTATATTTTACGTGTGTTTATTATAAAAATCTATTTCCAAATTAATTTAATAATACTTGTTCCTGTGATAAACATTAGGACATTTTTATATACATTTAATTAAACTTTAGATTATTTGACTCCTGATATTTTTGTTTCCTTTATTACGGGGTGAGCACTTCCACAGAATCATTTTTCTACTAGCAGTACTGTACGCAGTACTGTACAAAGTTAGGCAACGAAAAGACGTTACAGCTCAGATGCGCATCTTTTTCTTACTTTTCGGAAAGAAGCAAAGAATCGTATCTTGAATTTTCTATTGAGTCCACGTCTCCAGCAGCTTCCTAATTCCAATACAGTGACAATGAGAGGAGTCTAATATCTGTTTTAGGATTCCTGTTCGCTGGTGGGTTTCTGAGCTGATAAGCTCGGTTAGTGTTGGTTTTATTATGAGAGGAAAATACTATTAGCTGGCTGAAACCAACAAGCGAACAGGCTGATTGGAAGAGATGCTGTAGCAGTAGCCTAATAATCCCCCTAATGCATGGGCCCTACTCGTCGGGATATATTTTTATTATTTTGCTTTCTTTCCTTCCACGCAGAGGCACGGTTTCTTCTCCCCATCGTCGCCGCCGTATTCTCATGCAGAGGCACGGATCTGCCCATGGCGCTCCTCCACCCATCTGTCCTTGAGCTCGTCGGCCCCCTCCACCCACAGTCATGGGTCTCCTGGCCCCCTCCGGTCCTAGCCGTGCTGCTCCTTCGTCCCCTCTGTCTCTGTCTCCCAAGCCATGGAGCTCCGCTATCCCCGGCCATGGTGCTCCACCGCGGCACCGCGTCCATGGCAACTGGCACGACATCCTCATCCTCGTCCTCCGCGACGTCCGGGATCGATCACGGTGTCCTTGTCCTCGTCGCTCCTCCGTCCCCAACCTCGGTGCCAGCTCTAGCCATGGCCTCCCCGTTCGCCTTCGGCCATGGCCGCCGGGCTCCAGCTCCTCAGCAGGCGGATGCACAGAGGAAGAAAAGCGACAGTTAGGATGGGCCCCACTCTATTGGGGGAGATGCAACTTCCCTTCATTTGAGGGGAGATGGGGTGTTTTTCTGTTGGCCAACAAAAAAGAAGAGTTATTGGCGGACCGCTGAAAAAAGAAAAATGAGCCATCTCCCACAATGACAGTTTTATGGGGATGAGGGGTGGGATTAGGGGTCCTTTGGAGATGCTCTAACTCCGACGACGTAGTTAGAACATGTCAAACAGTTTTTTTAAAACACTTTAACATATCATCTAAAGAGCCGTTTAAGTAAAAAAACACTTTTTATATCTCTTGTCACTTTTAAGTAAAATTCACTCTTCAAATTATCCATTTTTAGCTAGCGAAAATTCAGAACAAATGTTATTTATATTTGGATATAACCAATTAAAAAGGCTGTTGAAGGATGTTTTTTTACCAAAAAGCTTTATCCAATTCAGAAAGGATACAGAGGTCATTTAGAGTTGCTCTTCAATAGTCTTGCTTGATTAATTGTGCGCTAAGATAATGAACAAAGGGCAAACTAAAGACGAGGATATTCATACAAAAGATTGTGTAATTCTGGTTCGCAGTTGTGACGGCCACCAAAAGATGAGAAACTCCAAAGTCCGTGCCAAGATGCTCTGGCTATCGGGTTCGATTTGCTTGGCGGCTCCAAAGAAAAAATATGCTCTTATTAAAAAAGAATACAAATCACACTTGGGACTTGTTTAGATTGCAAGTTTTTTCACTCTCTCTCCATTACATCAAATCTTTGAACACATGCATGAGTATTAAATATATATAAAAAAATAACTAATTAGACAGTTTGATTGTAAATTACGAGACAAATCTTTTGAGGCTAATGATTAGACAATAATTATCAAATACAAACGAAAGTGCTACAGTATCAAATATTGATTCTTAACCCTAATATAAACGAGGCCTTGTATAGGCAATGTAAAGCTGACGGCCAGCCGATACATAGTACCTTTAAAAATTATGTTGCATGTCCTTGTATTTTAATCTGTATATAATCGATTTTTTTAAGCCAATGTCGTTTAATAATTTTTTTAGTACCTTCAATGGAGTTTTATTTTCATTAAATAATTCGACACGTCAGCAAATTTACTGAGTTAGTAGGGTATTAATAAAAAGAGAGGAGAAGAGAGTTTCATCAGAATAAAACTCATCCTTCAAAGTTACCAACGCAAATGGAACTCTATTGAGAGGGATTTCATTTCATTTTCTAGCACACCCGGGATCACCTGTGCACGGCGCTTCCTTGACGTGTGATATCCAGCTTGCATGTAGTGTGAAACCAACTTGCACATGAAAGCTAGTTCAAATATATTTTAAGTTTGAGATATACGAAAGCAACATTTGAGATCGTTCGACGCATTATCGACTTAAGAGAGAGATTTAGTGAAACTTATTTGGAACAAGTTCGGATGAGGTAGGAGCCGCCGCCCCCACGACGACTGGGCCCAAGCAAACGACGGCCAGAGAGGCAGAGATGCTTGACAGATTGTAGATTCGTAGCAGCAGTAGACACATGCATAGATCCATGCACTACACTCATCCGCTACACGGCGAAGGCCGCGGCAGCCGCGGCGGCGCCGGCGGTGCGGAGGATCTGGAAGTAGAGCTGCGGGTTGGCGGACGAACGCGCGCGCTGGAGACGAGAAACCAGCGGCGCCCGGCGCCTTCATGGTGGCGCTGGCGGCGACGGCGCGGCCGTGGGCCACAGGAAGTAAGCGCCGACGGCGCCCGACGACCACCACCCGCGGTCTTCACGGCGCCCTCGCTGGTGGAGAACATGCCCGCTGGCGTATGCGTCGCCGCGAATCATGGCGCTGGCCGCCGGCCGCCAGAGAGATCGCCGGTTAGGCTCGCCATCACCGCGCCGGCCACCGGTTGGCGGCCGAGACGGTCGAGGCTAGCCCGACACCACAATGGGCCGGCCGCACGCAAGCCGCCAGAGAGATCTGTCGAGGCTAGGCCCGCCACCATGGGGCGCAGCGGCAGCTGGCTTGGCAGCCGAGACGGTCGAGGCCGCGGCTCTCGCCTTCTTGCCTCAGGCGGTCCAGCCCTCCGATGAGGTCGCTCGGGTACATCTCAGCGGTCTTTGGGATCTTGGTGGCAGAGGTGGAGTGGAGGTGTGGCGGCGGCGAAGCGATCTGAATGCGAAGGGAAAGGTTGTGGCCGGGGCCTCGCCTTTTTGTATATCTCCGCTGATCTTTCTTGGGTGAAGGCGTGGGAAGGGCTTGTTACTTTTGTCCCTCAGATTAAAACAAACATATACTCCGGACTTGTTTAGGTTGTGGTTAGAAATCACTATTTAGCACTATAGCACTTCGTTTGTATTTAATAATTATTATCCAATCATGATCTAAATAGACTCAAAAGATTTGTCTCGTAATTTACAATCAAACTGTGTAATTAGTTATTTTTTTATCTACATTTAATACTTCATGTATGTGTCCAAAGATTTGATGTGATGGAGAGAGAGTGAAAAAACTTGCAATCTAAACAAGGCCTCCGTACTAAAAAAAACGCAAACCTTGTTTTCTCAAGAGTTAAAAAATCTCAATATTTACTAGATTTACTATATTTTACGTGTGTTTATTATGAAAATCTATTTCCAAATTAATTTAATAATACTTGTTCCTATGTTAAATATTAGGACATTTTTATATACATTTAATTAAACTTTAGATTATTTGACTCCAGATATTTTTGTTTCCTTTATTACGGGGTGAGCACTTCCACAGAATCATTTTTCTACAAGCAGTACTGTACGCACTACTGTACAAAGTTATGCAACGAAAAGACGTTACAGTTCAGATGCGCATATTTTTTTTACTTTTCGGAAAGAAGCAAAGAATCGTATCTTGAATTTTCTATTGAGTTACCTATGTCTCCACATCGATGTGATAAGAACATCTCCAGCAACTCGCTAATGGGCCTGTTCGCTGGTCGGGCCTGGGGCTGGTTTGGGTTGGCTGGTGCTGGTTTTTTTTAAGAGAAAAATATTGTTGGCTGGCTGGTTTAGGCTGGCTGAAACCAACAAGCGAACATGCTATATAAGATGGTGTTTGATTCAGTGACTAAAATTTAGGAGGTATATCAGGAGGATGTTGCATGGGGTGTTCGGATACTAATAAAAAAAACAAATTACATAATCCGTCGGTACTCCACGAGACGAATTTTTTAAGACTAATTAATACATCATTAGCATATGTTACTGTAGCACCACATTGTCAATTCATGGACTAATTAGGCTTAAAAGATTCGTCTCCCAAATTAGTCGCAAACTATATAATTAGTTTCATAATTAGTCTATATTTAATACTCCATACATGTGTCAAATATTCGATGAGACAACGATTAAAATTTAGGAGAAACAACCAAACACCATCTACATCCCCCAATACCGTGATAATGGAAGGAGCCTAATATTACTTTTTGATTATTAGAAGAGATACTGTAGCAGTCTAGTAATCTCCCCCAATACATGGGCCCTGCTTGTCAGGATATTTTTATTATTATTTTGCTTTCTTTCCTTCCACGCAGAGGCACGGTTTCTCCCCATCGCCACCGCCGTATTCTCACGCAGAGGCACGGATCTGCCCGTGGCGCTCCTCCACCCATCTGTCCTTGAGCTCGTCGGCCCCCTCCGCCCACAGCCATGGATCTCCTGCCCCCCTCCTGTCCCAGCCATGGGCCGCTCCTTCGTCCCCTCTGTC